GGGCGGGTCCTTTCAGGAAAATGCTGGCGATTCCAGAGGCAGCCAAGGTAAGGAGACGGGGCCACAGAGAGAACCAAGAAGGGGCGTCCTCTGCAGTTGGCATTCAGGCTCCTTGCCTTTCAGGGTGCGGTGTCCCTTAGTTCACTTTTTAATGTGATTTCCCTGATGTCTGGTCAGCCCCAACCCCGCCTGGAAGAATATTCTCATCACTAAGACTCAGTGCGGCACCCTGCGCAGGCTCTCCCTCAGCGGGGGCATCTCCTCTCTGAGGAGAAGGGGTTGGAATGACCTGTGGACTCCAGTTTGTGAAGGGCGAGCTGCGGAGGGGGATAGGTCTCTGAGGACCAGGATCAGGGTGGGGTGGGGGGAGAGGTGCGGCTTGGCTTGCCCACTCCCGGACTCTGCATATTGAGCAGAAACACCAGGATCCCTGTTCTCCTTTCGAACCGATTTTCAGAATACATTTCGCCAGATTATTTCCAGATCTCAAATAGAGAGAAAAACCTCATTAATCATTAATTTGGACCCCCATGGCGTTACAGAATTGGCGACATTTGTTTATCTTTGAAGGAGCTGGTAAGAAAGAGTTTAACAAGGACATATTGGGGATGGGGTGAAGAGCGGCGAACATTTCAGGAAGACAGGAGCTCCGTTTAGCTTACCTCTGTGTACAAGAGGGGGCGTGTGCCACATCCGTGCCCCTCTCCTCTGCCCCACGGAGACAGCGGGTGATGCTTCCTCATCTGTAAGCTCAACCTCTTTTCACGCTGGGGACCCCTTTCCAGTGTCAACATATTTTTAATACCATCCCTGGCCCCCAGTTGATAGGAGTTGCATTTTTTTACTGTGGTTGAGAAGAAAAGCTACTCTGAATTCAGTAAAGCTTCTGATCAAATCATGATAGCACCTGTGTATGCATGAAAAACGGTGCCATCTTCTGAGTCATGGTGTCCCTTTAGTCTGTAGCCGATGTGTGAGCACATAGGGATTCCAGGTCCCCGAGGTGGCTCTGGAGCCCCCTGCACCCCTACTCGGTGGGAACCCTTTGGAAGTTCTCAGGGGTCATTTCAGCCACTCTCACCTCAATGGTTCTCTGTGAGGAGTCCTTTGTTGGGGACAAGGAGGTTGGCGTTCTTTGTAGGCACACTAACGCCTGTCACAGGCTGTCCCTTTAGGGGCTTGGATGAGCTCAACAAACTGCTTCCCTGAATTCCCCTACGAAGCTGCCCAAGCCCTCCATCCCCTGGTGGGAACCACGTGCTCTAACGAATGTCACTCTGGCTGGCAGTGACTTCATATCCCGTAGGAGCAGAGAAGCAAGACGCAGCTCTGGGTGGCTTGCTTGACCAGAGCTGCCTGGAAGCTCCCCCAGGGCCACCCCAGCCACCTTCTTCTCTTCCTTCGTGGCAGGAGGGGGTGTAGGGAGAGGAAGTGAGTGGGCAAAGAACATCAAAGATGAGGGAGAAGAGGACAGAGGGAGGGCGTTGCCTGTAAAGTAGTTAAATCGGGGCTCTTGGTCCAGGGATGGGCTCATGGGCCTGAGCACACCCTGAAATCATCGCCAAATGTGTGGGGGGCATTTTTCTGGGGAGAAAGTCTCTAACTTTCATTAGAGTCTCAAAGCGGTGCGTAAGCCGAAACACTTTTAGATGCCCCGGTTTGGGATTTTGACTTTTCCCTGAGTCAGGCTTCCTACTCCTTGGTTGCTCAGAACCCGCGAAGTGTTACTGCATTAGTCAAAGACTGCACATGTAAAAATATCAAATGTTCATTGCGCAGCGATGATGGGGAACTTCATCTGCTTAGCCGGTCTGCTTAGCCGCTTCATGTGAGAAGTCTCAGCGCCAAACAAATGCCAGGGAATGTGGCTGGTCACTGACGCTACCTCCTTTGTTCTCCTGCACAGGACCCGGGATGGCACGCTCAGGGGCAGGGCTCATTGTCTTCTCCCTCCTGCAAACCGTCCTCTCTCTGAACCCCGAGGACCCCAACGTGTGCAGCCACTGGGAGAGGTAAGGCATGGGCCTCAGATGGCCAGGCACTCACCTGAGCTTTGCACTGTCGGGACAGAAGCTGTCCACTGAGGGCCAACAGTCCAGCTAGAGAGACAGCATGGAGCTGAAAGACAGGACAAAGCAGGACAGATTCTGTCTGAGACTCAGGGTGGTGGGAGGTCAGGGTGCAGGGGGTTGAGTGACAGGCCATTTAAGTGATGCAGTCTCACAGTTGACAATGTACTCATGTTCCTCCCTGCATTCCCACTTCCCAGTCATTTTACAGACGAGGAAGTAGAGGCCCAGTGCCCATTCACAGCCAGGTGGGTGCATTGAGTTGTTCTGGTCCAGATATGTTGTTTTCTGATGCAATAAAGTCTTTCCCGGTCTCCCAGGACTGGCAGCAGTGCAGCAGCCTGGACATGTGGGCGGCCAGCAGCCTGCCCTGAGGAGATGGGGGAGGGGGTTGGAGGGCTGCTCAGGGAAGGGCAGTTGAGGGCAGAGGCAGAAGAGCCGGCTGTGGCACGAGGTCCTCGGGGAGTAGGCCAGGGCCCTGCAGACAGTCTGACTTTGAAGCACAAGGTTAACGTATTGATTTTGGTGAGCAGAGGACAGTGACCAGAGACCCAATCAGGAAAAACGAAATTAAACCCTGGAATTGATTGGCCATGCTGACCAGGATGACTCTGCCACTTAGATGTTAATAAATCAAATGAATAAAATTAAGACGAGGGCCCGATGGGGGAAGCAGATGGCGGAGGAGGACAGGTGAAGGGGTGGTCCATGCTCCATGCCCATGAGGGTGAATGTCCCGTCTCATGGCAGGGAAAGCCCCTCACCCAGGGCTCTGGAGGGACAGTGCCTGCACCAGCATGGTTTTTGGTGACTGGCGCTCTACGGGGAGTCGAACAGAGTCAGGCTGGAGCAGAAGGCAGTGTGCCCCGTTTCAGTGAAGTGGGAAGAACACGAGATCTATGACCAGTAGACCCTGGTTCATTGAAGTCTGGAGTTTTCCAACTGTTAGTTCTATGACCTTGCACATGTCTCCTAACCATTCTGAGCCTACTGCCACCTCTGTAAGGTGGAAGGGGGGAGAATGAACCTCAGGCTTGTTGGAGGGTCAGGGAACCAGTTTCACAAAAGTGCGTTGCGGAACAAAAAGCTAATAATTGATTGCCTTTTCTTGTTGACAACTCTGTCTTTGTAGGAATGGCTATCACAGGTTTTATGCACACCAGGCTCACTGGGAATGTGAATGAAACACGGAGTCTGCTGAGACTCCAATTCCATTGGTCTGGGGTGGAACCTAGGAATATGTATTTTTCATAAGGTTTCCATGAGGAAGATGTAAGGTTTCATAAGGTGATCGTGAGATGATTCAGGTCCCTTGGCCTCCTGGTTATGGTGAATTTAAACCTTTATTTCCCAGTGGGTGAGAAGGCGAGCAGGTGGAATCCCATATTAGTCTCTGGTTTATGGACTCTAGTCTCATCAGCCCTGACTTGTCCACCCGTCCCCATTGAGACAGTTGCTTCCTGCCCGCATACCTCCTTCTCTGCTCACCTCGGCCTTTCCTACTGCCTCCAACTAGGTCTCTCTCCTCTAGGAAGCCCACCCTGACTTCCCCTTTGTCTGGGTCCCATTTGCACCAGTGGATCAGTTCAAACTTAAACCAAACGCCCTAAGTTTCTAAACCTGCCCAACATGAACAAGTTTGGAAGGTGAACATATTCTGAGCCCAGAGCTGGCATTTCAGGTTTCCAAGGCTGTCAGCTGAATATGTAGCTATGGTGGGAGAACAAAGAGTAACCCTAACAGCTAAAATGAGGCCTGAGGACGCTCTGGGCATCTCTAACCCCCTCAAAGCGATGCCCTGTGATACCAAGCACCTCCTTTTTCTCGGCTTTTCCAACTGAGCTCTCTTGCCAGTTACACACGGATGGATCTAGTCTGTGTCATTCCAGAAACACACTCCGGTCCCCAGAGACCTCTTGGGGAGAACTTCCCCGTTGGATTAGTGCTTCTGGCGGGCTCCTCGTTAATTATACACCTCCACCATAAAACCCAGCGGAAAGACCTCCCCGGGCTAGTAAAGCCCAGCTCTACCAGATTAATCTGGCCTCTCATTAGCATGTTGGCAAATGAGCATGTTAAACCATTCAGCCATGAAACCGGGGGCACACACTTCACCCCGAGTCTTGGAGTTGGTTCAAGGTCTTGTTGACAGACTTGCTTGGCTCAGGGCACTCTTGCAGAGCCAGCTCTGTCCCTCATGACCCCCTCCCCGCCCCCTCCCAGGGGCTGATGCCTTTTCTCTGAGCACCCACTGTCCCCAATGCTGGGGGGGGGCGGGGGTGTCTGAACCCTTGAGTGCTTAACAAAGGCAGGGAGGCCATTCTGTGGGTGGGTCTTGCTCTGGCTCCCCTACCATGGTCCGGGAGGAAATATTCCTCAGTGCCTGGCACAGGAGGTGAGCGGTTGCCAGTCTTATAGTAATGATGGCTAGCATGTTAGACACTGCGCATTTTGCATTTATTATCTTCCCCCCACCCTGAGATGTAGACACTACTATTGCCCTCTTTAATCCCCACAATAGCTACATGAAGTCCCTGGGAATATTTAGCACAGATTTCCAGGTGAGGAAAGGGAGGCTTATAGGAGTCTTGTATGTCTAAGGACATGCTGCTAACAAGAGACAGGTTTCAATCTTGTCCCAGAGCCCCCATGCACTCTCATCCATTCATTCTCCCTCCTCTAAGTGAAGTGTCAGAGCACAGGGTCATGGAATTTGGAATTTCAGAGTGGAAGGGGCCTTAGGGAAGCTAGGGGTGGATGTGGAGCTGCCTCCGTTTCTCCAAGCCTGGAGATAAAACGGGGCTTTGGGCCAAGTCTGCATAGATATGTGCCTCTGAGGCATGGCTTGCTGGGTAGAAGCTCAGCAAGGCCCTCTGACATCCTCAGTGCTTCAGAAGAACAGCATGTCCCACCCGCCTCTCCCTCCTGGACAGGGCTGACTGCTCTGGCCTCTTTCTGAGTTCTAGACCTTTCACACTTCCGGCGTCAGAGCGCCTGCTGTGGACTGAGTCAGGGAGCTGGTCTGCCCAGACCCCTTGGAAGTAAACCCACAGTTTCCTCAGGCAAAGCAGACGGGCTTTTATAGCCTGGACCTGGCCATCTGGCCCAGGTCAATGAGCCTTCTGGGAGGAAAACACGGAATAGTACCAACATACATAAAAATGAATCCTGAAATCTCAGCCTGCACAGGAGGTGTGAGTCTGTGCTTTATGTTCTGGCTTGGCTGCCTTCTCATACAACTCCTGGCAGGGTGGGCAGGAGGGAAGGCTTGTTTTTGTGAAGTTGAGACCTGCTTCCCTGTGGCTTCCACCTGTGGGTCCATTTTTACAACGAACAGGCACCTTGGTAGCGCAGAAGGTAACTGGTAACTTTGGGGAAGTCACTTAGCCTCTCTGATGCTCAGTTTTGTCAGCTGTGAAATGAGGATATAGCAATGCCATCTACCTTATAAGATTGTATGAGGATTAAAAGGGTTTAAAACACTTAATTCGGGGCAGTCAATACATATTGACAGTTATTGCTACCAGCTGTGTGACCTGGGCAAGTCACCTCTCTCTGAGCCTTAGTTTCTTCATCTATAAAATGGGACCACTTACTTCACAGAGTTGCTACAAAAATTAACTTCCATGCAGGTGTTTTGAAAACCATAAAGATCTAAACACATGTATTTTTTAAAATACATTTTTTATTGATTTCAGAGAGAAAGGGAGAGGGCAAGAGATAGAAACATCAATGATGAGTGAATCATTGATCGGCTGCTTCCTGCACACCCCACACTGGGAATCAAGCCCGCAACCTGGGCATGTGCCCTGAATGGGAATCAAACCGTGACCTCCTAGTTCATAGGGCAACACTCAACCACTGAGCAACACTGGCTGGGCTAAATACATATTTTAAAACTGTTGGCTCTGCTTTCTAAAACCACATAGAATAAACCTAAACCCTCCTTTATTCTTTCTCTGTTAAATGAACTAATGAATTAGAATTTCAGGAAATGAGCAGGGCCAAAGGGCAGTAAGGCAGTGTCCTAGATCCAACCAGGCATCAGGGAGGTGTGGATGCCAAGGGTATCCAGGGCAGAAGGAGGATAGTGGGGCAGGAGAGAGGGGGTGTTGGAGCCCCTGGACACTTGGCTGAGGCCTGGCTTCCCTGGGGAGGGAGGCTCCATCCTGAATATCAGCTCAGATTCCCAAGTGCTGACTGTGTCTTCCATCTCCTGTCTGGCTCTCAGCTACGCCGTGACTGTCCAAGAATCATACGCACACCCCTTTGACCAGATCTACTACACACGATGCACAGACATCCTCAACTGGTTCAAGTGCACCAGGCACAGGTGAGTACCTCTCTCAGATGGCGGGGCAGGGAAAGGGTACTGGGCCCTCAGCGTTTGCCTTTCTGCCAGTTAGTAAAAGGCCACTGTGACAGATGTGGTCAGTGTATCACCTGTATCCCCTTGGTATTCACTCTTCACCCTAAACCCCAGAGATGCTCTGCTGAGGGCTTCTTTCTGGCCAGAGGAGCAACGGGGCCAGTCAGGCTAGAGGCACCTGAGAATTAATGTCCTTGGGGGCATTCCTCAACCAGTAACAGGTAGGGAGTTGGTAGGTAAATACCCCAGCTTCCTGCCTCTGAGAATAGAGGGGACAACTCTGAGTGCATCCCAGAGGCGCTTGGTCACCCATAGCAGTAACCTGCTCAATAGCACACCCTACATTGGCTGCCTTTGTTTCCCTGTCTCATTTTCCTGTTCCCCTCCTAGTGCTTTCTAGGGTCACCTCCTAAATAAAGGACTTGTCCTTGAATCCTTGTTTCAGGTCTGCTTTTGGGGGGAAATCCAACCTAGAACAGCCATTCCCCCTCCGCACCCCCGACCCCGAGCAGATGAAGTCCCATGCCTTGGAGAACAGAGTGCAGGCTAGAGGTCAACACCCTCTCAGCATCTCAACCACTGCCTGTGGGAATCCTGCTCCCTTGCGTCAGCCCTCCTCCAAATCATGACATGCTCCCATGTCACAGGCAGAGGTGGCGGGGCGGGGGGAGGGAGGAGGAAGGAAGGAAGAGAGAACATGTTTTATTGGATGACCCTGGGCAAGCCATGATGAGTGATCCTTGCCTTACCTACCTGCAGGTCCTGTGAGGCCAGGGATACGAAAGTCCTTTGGAAAGTGCAGGGGAGAATGGAGAACGGTGAGGTATTAGACCCAAGGTGGCATTATTACTTCAGGGTTGAAAAAGCAGCAGATGAAGAGTAAAAGAGGGAATGAGTGAGAGCCCAGACGGTTCACTTCCTAGTTGCTGAGCACCTGTGTTGGTTCCAGCGTTCCTTGCCTCCTCCTTGCGGGCTCAGTCCCTCTTTGGGATTCATGCAGGAGTCATGGTGGGTAGCATGTGGAGGGGAAACCCACTCTATGCTGAAAAGCCGAAGTCCTGGCATTTGGGGTTTTCTAGTAACTTCCTGTGAGACACTGAACATAGATACAATAACCACTTTAAAATCCTTGCCTGCTAATCCAACAACTGGGCCATCTCGAGGTTGGTCTCCATTGATTGCCTTTTCTCTTATGTAGGTAACATTTTTCTAGTTTCTTTATATGTCTAGTAATTTTTCATTGTATGCTGACTGTTATGAACAGCAGAGACGGTAAAGACTGAATTCTGTTATGTTCCTTTAGAGCAGGGGTGGGGAATCTTTTTTCTGCCAAGGGCCACCTGGATATTTATAACAGTATTCAGAGGCCATACAAAATTATCAACTTGAAAACTATGTTGCTAGGAAAACAAGCAGGGCCAGACCAAATGAACGCCCCGTGGGCCGGGCGTTCCCCACCCCTCCTCCAGGGAGTATCAGTTCATTGTTGCTTGCTTGCTTGTTTGTTTTATCAGCCAGATAAACTCAATTTCCAAACTGAGAGTTCACTAGTTTTAGCCTTACCTGGGCTGCTTGTAACCTGCCCTCCACACACATAATTTCAGGGGGCAGAAGCTTGGGCAGATTTTTACCAAGAGTATGGGCTTCCTCTTTGTGGCTCTTGTCTTTCTGGAGTTTCCCTTTCCACTCTCTAGTTGTCGAGTCCACCCTGTATTTGTCCTGTGGGTCTTCAAGCCAGTAAGGCTGCATGTCTTCTGTCTAAATTTTAGCCATCTGGAGTTTTTTTAAAAAATATATATTTTATTGATTTTTTACAGAGAGGAAGGGAGAGGGATAGAGAGTTAGAAACATCAATGAGAGAGAAACATCGATCAGCTGCCTCCTGCACACTCCCTACCGGGTATATGCCCACAACCAAGGTACATGCCCTTGACTGGAATCGAACCTGGGACCCTTGAGTCTACAGGCCGACGCTCGAGCCACTGAGCCAAACCGGTCAGGGCAACCATCTGGAGTTTTTATTGCTGACTTTGGTCTGTCCTTGGATTAACCTTGCCCAGTGTCATTCCCTTCTTCCAAGTGTCTACTCAGCTCTAGTATCTACCTTTGTTCTCTCCCTAGTGGCTTCAGGTAGTTGTTTTTTCTACTTTCCCCAGATTGTATAACTGTTTGCAGGAGGGTTGGTCTAACAGGAACTACTCAGCCATTATCCCGTCCCCTTCCTAAGCCCTTGGCTGTGAAATGAGGAGGTGGGACCCAATGCCTCCTCCCAACTCCACCGGTTGTGCCGAGTTAGCTGCCTGTGGACCTGGTCAAGGCAGAGGCAGAAACAGAAGTCCCGTTCCCTCCCTGAGCCAGCCGGGCTCTGGGCCAGCCAAGCTTGCTCTGTGGCGTGGCTTTGCTGGGGACTTGGAGTCCCGGCTGCCGTCCATCACCGCTGGGGAAGGGTGAGTGAGTGGCTGCTCATTAAAATAGGCTGCATTCCTGGAACACGAATTATTTTGCTAAATTATTGAGTCGCCTTGCAGCCTTCCTGATGACCCAGAGTGTGAGGCTGACAGCGGCACCATCAGTCTGCTCCGTGCGGAGTGCCTTGTTTGAACGAACGCAGCATCGTTCTCCTGACAGCAGCCTGGCCCCGGCTCCTTCCCTCTCCCACTTCTCACCCCAGCACTGGGAGCAAGCAGGGATGGGCAGGCCAGCAGCAGTGGGAGCATCTCTCTCCTGAGAGGCTGTGGTGATGTCGAGACCACCTCTCCATGGAGGGTTTGGGGAGAGCCCTGTTTGGAGGGAGGAATGGACTGGTGACCTCCGAGTCAACCCCAGTTGCTCTTTACTTGAGAGGTGCTTACACCGCCTCGAAGCTGCCTCCCTGTGCCGGGAAAGTAGCCTCACTCTGAGAGCAGCTTGCTTTCCATTATGGGTTTTTGACAAAGTAGAATGACCTTAGTTTACGACATTCCCAAATATCACAGATTTCCCCAGAGTCCCACACTGTCATTTGTCATAAAGCGAGGGCTTTAAGGACTGGGAGCCTGTGTGGTAGGACTCCCTTCCCACGTTGGCCTGACCCTCCCTGGAAAGCAGACTGTCGGCATCTGCAACGACCGGCCCCTGCTCTCTGCCCCCTGAGGCGGGGTCCACAGGCCATGCACCCCCGGTGCTGGCGGGGAAGTGAGAGAGCTCTGGCCTCAAGACCTGAGGACCTGTGTTGAGTCCTAGTTAAATGACATGACCTTGGGAACTTGCTTTCTCGTTCTGGTCCTTCCTGGCCACTTCAGATCTCCTCCATTATGACCCTATGTGTAAGAAGGAGCTTTGCTCTCAATGTCCCATTGACTCCCTCCTGCGGACTCAGTTCTCACACCATCCATTGCCCTTTCCTTACTCTCACGATGGCCATCCCATAAGCCCAGCAAGCCACCCTGTGGGAGCTGGCACAGGGCAGCAGGTTAAGCTAGTAGCTTTGAAATTAGACTGACGCAGGTTTGAATCCTGGCTCTAAAACTGTTTAGCTGTGTGACCTCGAGCAAGTCAACTTCTCCGAATCTCGGTCTTCTCATCCATAAAACAAAGTGGGAGGCAGTACATACAATTAAGTAAGAATAAAAACCCTAAAAAGAAATGAAATAAAGGGCATAAAGGAGCTACCTGCCTCAAGGAGGGAAGGGAAGGAGATTTTGCCTTTAAATCTCTCTGGCACAGGGCGATGTCTCCACGCCCATGTCAGCAGAAGGACGGGAACCCAGGTCTCTGATTCCCAGTCCAGAATGCCCTTTGCTCTCCGGGCCTTTCGGCTTCCCTTCCGTATGTAGCTTCATTCTCTGAGAGCCAGGCTTGGTTCTGAGTCTTCCCAGGGACGGCAGGCAGAGCCCTTTGCAGGAGGTGCTGATTTTGGTGTGAGGGAGATTAACTCACCTCTGGGTCTGAGTCACACTCAGAGGGTCCTTTTAATGACTGTGCTCCAGTTCTCCAGATGAGTGGACCCGTTTCCAGGGGGCCATAAGCAGCCTGCTTGTTGGGGTGTTGGCAGGAGGCACAGAAACTCTCAAAATCCCAGTCCCATCCAAGTCACCCCCTGGGCCCCTCCAGCACAGGGCCTTGAAGTTTTAAGGAAAAGTCCCGTTACCCTCCACAATGTCACCCAGACAGCATCTCCTGCAACCCTTCTCAGTATCACTCTGAAGGGAGTGGGGAGAAGTCAGTAGGTGTAACGAACACCGTTTCATTCGGTATTACATTGCCCAAACCCCGCCATCGATTGTTCTTTATTGTGTTCCTTCATATTCGAAGCCACCATGCATTTTAAAGTGATTATTGAATGGCATCCTCAATAGAGCTTAACACAAATATCATTCTAACAGGAGTGATTGATTTTCAATACTTTCAAGTGGCTTTCTCCCTGCGCCTTAGGATCAGCTATAAGACGGCGTATCGGCGTGGCCTCCGGACCATGTACCGGCGGAGGTCCCAGTGCTGCCCTGGCTACTACGAGAATGGAGACTTCTGCATACGTATGTAGGGGTTGCCTCTGCTCTGGCCTCAGTGGGGGTGGGAGGGAAGGGAGGGGGTTCCGAGGGGAAGAGAGGTAGAGCCGTCTTTCGGGTCCTGGGCCGCAGGTCTCAGCTGACCTCAGAACTCCGAAGTCCCTGCCTGCTGCCAGCTCGGAGGGAACAATGGGTCTAATGCGAGAACATTAGCACAAAATTGTCTATCACATCAACCTCCTAAGAGGGTTGATGGAAGCGAGTCAGGCCTAGGCTCTGAAGGGGTGAGGAGAGAAGTGGGCATTTCTGGAGTGGGCGCTCTGGGGAGCAGTGGGGAAGAAGTGCTGAGTGCTTGGCACAGAGCTGAGGGCATAGTAGGTGCTCAAGAAGGCTTTGTGGGATGGAAGGGAAGCTGAGTGGATAAATGAATGGAGAGATAGATGGATGATGGATGGATGAGGGTTGGATGGATGGATGGGGGGAAGGAAGGCAGGCTTGATTACTGGCTGACAAAATCATGGTACCTCGAAGGAGGATGGCAAGAGTAAGACATCACAAGGGACCTATTCCAGGAAGTGGGAAGGTTTCTAAAAAGAATTGGAATACACCAAAGAAAATGTTGGTTCATGAAAGACACTTGTTCCCTCTTTCACTTTTTGTCTGCAGTGGCTCAGTAAACTGAAGCCTTGGGAACCAGGGGTGAGTTGCTAGCAGCTGCAGGCCCTCTGGGTGGGGGACAGTGTGGTACAGTGGGAGACACCCGGGAGTAAGAGCCTGCAGGTCAGGGTTTTGGCCTCAGCTTCCCAGGCATGTAGCTTTGGCAAGTCGCTGACCCTCTCTGGGAGAATGGGTGAGGGCCCTGCTGGAGTCTAATGGACTCTCCCCACGCACCTCTGACCAGTGGGAGGGGACCCGTCTGGGGCTCTCCAGTGGGCATTCGAAAGTTTCCTCAGCCAGACACTGTCAGAGAAGCTTGGAGCCCCCGTTTAATTACTGAGGGGAGGCCGCCCACACAGCTTCTGCCTCTGCATTTGGAGGCAGATTTGAAGAGTGATTTTCCTTGTTAGCATTCTCCTTGCCATCTGGGTGGGTAGAGCGAGCTAGCACCAGAGAGAGAATTTGGGCAGAGTGGGCGTGTTGATGTTGGGAATGAAACGACAATTTTCCCCTACTGTTGTTACATCTCCCCTAATGCTGGAGAAACTCGATTCTAATTGCATTACAGGAATGAATGAAAAATGCTCCGGCAAATGGGGTCAATACTGATGGGTTTGCAGGAAAAATACAAAGATACTAGCCCAACGCAGACTCAAAAAGCAGTGCAGAGGCTGGGCGGGGCCAAGGCGTGGTCAGTGCTTCACCTGGGACGGGGTTACTATGGGAACCAGGTGTAGAGGTGAGGTCAGAATCAAGACCTTACAGCTGCTCCTCTGTTTGCCTGGACTGGAGCGAGGCTCAGGCTGCCGGTGGGACATGCAGCCATGAAGACGGAGCAGGATGGGTGTGTGCGGCCCTTCTGAGCTCAGGGCGCAGTGACAGACTCAGAGAAATCATGAATGGAGTTCGGATGTGAGCACGGGGCCCCAGGAATGGATGAGCACCTTCCCCTTCTAATTTCCTTAGTGGATGCTGGTCAAGCTCTTGGAAAATGAAGAGCAAGGCAGGAGCACTAAGTGTCCTGGTTGCGCAGGCTCGGTCTTGCTGACTGGGAAGGCAGCTCATGACCTGCCGCCTGCTCCTTATGTAACTGCTGGGCACTGCCTGCCGTGCTGGTGGCCACGGCCCGTCCTCCCAGGACGCCATGCTTCTCAGGACGGGAGGCTTTTCCTAGGAGGGAGCAGGAGGGTCCTGGCAGGGAGAGGGGGCATTGTGGCGCGCTGAGGCTGGGAGTGGTGATAGAGAGGGGCAAGAGGCACACAGGCCTGGGCTGAATCTCAGCTCTGCCACTACCAGCTTCTTCCTCTTTACCCTCATCACCATCCTCTGCAGAGTCCAAGCACCATTCTGATCACTTTACATCCATCAGCACATCAGCTCCTCTCAACAGCCTATGAGGTAGGAACCCTTCCTACTTCCAATTTACAGATCGGGAAACCGAGTCACAGAGCAATTCAGTAACTTAGCCAAGATCACCACTTTCTAGCTGTGTGATTTTGGTCCATACACTTAAACGCGCTGTAACTGAGCTGGAAAGCAGTAAAAGTGGAATTTGAACCCAGGCAATCTACTAGTAGCTCCAGAGTCTGCTCTGAACCACTTGGAATAGGCAAGACATCACCTCTCTGAACCTCAGTTTCCACTCATGTAAATGGAGATAGTAATACCTAAACCATCAGGCACGGGATAGGGGCTTCATAAATGTCACCTTCCTCCTCTGCAGCTTTGGGTCTTAACATTTTTTTTTAGTCTTGGCTCTTATTTTAATTTCTCAGAGATCCATGGACTCTCTCCCTGGGGAAATGCATACTACATATGTAAACATGCACATGCACACGGCCCTTTGCACACAATTTCAGGGGTTGGTGGATCCTCTGACATGCTTAAAGGGTCTTTGGACCCATGGTCAGTTGTTTCGGCCATATGCTCATGTTTATCCATTCAACGTACACTAGTTGCAAATGCAGGGGTTATGCACGCACATGAGAGGTAGATGCTGCCTGGAGGAGCTTGCAGCCTAGTGGAAGGAAAAGATCTAGTACAAAAATATGTGCAACCGAGTGTTGTAGCTGCTTTGACAGGCGTCTTTCTAAAGTAGGGCAGGATAAAGAGGAGAGGCTGTCTTTTTGGCCACGCCCACTCACCAAGTGTTATTCAGAAATCAGCTACAGCCCTGACCGGTTTGGCTCAGTGAATAGAGCATCGGCCTACAGACTGAGGGGTCCCAGGTTCGATTCCGGTCAGGGGCATGTACCTTGGTTGCAGGCACTTCCCCAGTGGGGGGTGTGCAGGAGGCAGCTGATCGATGTTTCTCTTTCATCAATGTTTCTAACTCTCTATCCCTCTCCCTTCCTCTCTGTAAAAAAATCAATAAAATATATATTTAAAAAAGAAAAAAAAGAAATCAGCTACAGAGAAGAGTGAAGGGGGGTGCCTGGGAAGGGTGTTTCAGCCCAGTGGTTCTTAAATGCCCGCTGTGCTGCGGACAGAATGTCAGAAACAGCTCCTGCCCTCGTGGATCCTACAGTCTTGTTGGGAAGGCAAGTCTAATGTACAGGAAGTCATTAGAGAACAGCCAGAGAGGAATGTGGGAACGGCTAGACAGGCCACACAAACCAGGCAGGAGAGAATGCTGTGAGCTGTGATCCCTCGCGGCCGCACGGGGTTTGAGTTGATGGAAGGGCATTGTTGGAGTGGATGGGAGAGGGAGCCCCATCAGCAAGGATGTGGAGTGGGCCTGAGCAGGGTGGGCAGATCTGGGCTGGGAGAAGGGGAGGGGAGGCTGGCAGTGGGCGGCAGTTATGAATTCCCTAGGGCCGTTCTTACAAAGCACCACAGCTGGTGGCTTAACCAGCATGAGTTCATTGTCTCACAGCTCTGGAGGCTGGAAGTCTGAGATCCAGGTGTTAGCAGGTGAGTTCCTTCTGAGGGTTATGACAGATGTTCCAGGCCTCTCTCTGGCTTCTGCCAGTTCTTCAGCCTGTGGCAACATAACCATTCTCCACACGGAGTCCTCCCCCTGTGGGTGTCAGTCCCCCAATTTCCCCTTTTTATAAGGTCACAGTCATATTGGATTAGGGCTCAGCCCAATGACCTCATTTTAACTCGATTATCTGTCTCTGACACCTATCTCCAAATAAGGTCTCATTCTGCGGTTCTGGGTGTTAGCTAGGAATTCCACATATGAATTTGAGGAGGACACAATTCAACCCGTAATGGGTGGGTGTCAGTCCCCCGCAGGCTATGTCACCTGTGTGTGAGAGAATGGAGTCCGAGGGTTGGGGAACTCGTGAGCAGGAGAAATGGTAGTGAGAGGGTGCGGGATCATGCCCAGGATGCTGGTGCTGGATGAGAAGCTTGTAGACCTGGGAGCGTTCAGGAGCCAAAACCCTGCAGCCCTGCCCGTCCTCCACCCCCTCCCCACCTTCCAGAGACCAGAGGACCTCCAAGTTCACCAGAACCTGGTGAGAACTCATCCAGTGTTGAGAGTCCTCAGGACTCTGCACAGGAACATCACCTGAGCTCTGGGAAGAGCCATGGGGACGTTGACCTTCCTCCAAAGCCACCGTCCTGGAGCCTTGTTTCTCAGCCATGGTAGAAGGACACTGGCCCCGGAGTGAAAGCCTTGGCTGACTGCAGTAACTTGCTGTGCAATCTTGGGCAAGTCCCTTTGCCTCTCTGGTCCCACTTGGTATAGGATGGAGCATCTCGGTGTATGGAAGGAGAAAGATGAGACAGTGAATGAGTGTCCTGGAAAGCACATTCAGAGGCAGGTGACACTATTTTTCTATTTGTACCATTTCCTCTGGCCCAGAACTGCCACCCTCGGCAGCCTTTCTACAACCACGCACACCAGAGCCGCCCACACCTGACCGTTATCCACAGATAAGCGATAGTCTTGTTCCTCCTTGGTTGCCTAGGCCTCAGATGTTTCTTGAGGATCGCTGGGCGCAAGCACACTTCTTTCTTTCTCCTTGTGAAATAGGGCAGTGGGCATCTTTACCTCTGCAGATAGAACTCATTTTCAGTCATGGGGTGGGGGTTTGAGGCATTTTGTGAAGCTCTGTACTTGGAAAATATTAGCCTGCATCAGACTGGATGGGCTGGATTATGCTGCAGTGACAAGCAATACCCCAAACCCAGTGGCTTAAAACAATAACGTTTTTTGTTCATATTACATGTCCATTGTGGGCTAGCCAATGGCCTGCTCCTTGTCACCTTCACCCCAGGACCCAGGCTGATGGAGCAGCAACCCTGCAATGTTGCGTGTTGCCATGGCAGAGAGGAGAGCGCTGTGGCAGGTGTGGAAGGCCGAGGGCCAGCGTAATTAGTGAGCAGTGGTAACGCTTACCACAGGTTCCACACAGTAA